TAGATAGAGAGGGTTGCCAGTTTCAGGAAAAATGGACTGTAGAATTCTTTTTTTTCTTGCACAATGGTAGCCTATTTGTTTGCTTTGTAATGAATCAGTTTCAGTATAAAAGAATTTATTATAAAGAGGAATTACTCAACTAAGCGTCCTACGCTTCACTCACTTACTGGTCAAACAAAAAAAGACAAAATCCAAAAACTTACCGTGAACTTGAAAAAACAGTAGCAAACGTTTGTTAAACGAAAAACATAGTTCGTTCAAAATTGGCAAAGTCATTAAAACCATTTGCCTAAGGAGAATTTATCAAGGAGTGTATGTCAGAAATTTGTCATGTTTTGTATCCTGAAAAAAAAAAGTTATTTTGAAAAAATTAGTTTGTCAAGATGAACTGTTGTCCGACGTATAGAAATGATGGTTAATTATATAAAAACAAAATTGACTAACTGTATGGCTGGTTTTGAGTCATTTTTCGATAGCATTAGACGAGAGCACTGATTTGTCAGACACAGCTCAACTGGCTATATTTATTTGAGGTGTTGATAAAGAGCTGCTAAAAAAAGAACCACTAGAGGAGAGGACATTTTCAATAAAGCTTAAAAGGTATTCATAAGTTTTGGCCTGCCATGGTTAAAATTAGTTGGAGTATGCATAGGCGGTGTACCTTCTATGGTCAGTTTATGTAAAGGTTTCATTGAAATTTTGAATGAAAAAGCAACTGAATTAAATGCGCAAAAACATGAATTTGATAGTCCTACATTGCATTATTCACCAACATAACTTGTGCTCTAGAACAGTTACCATTCTCTCTGTATGAAAATATTGCTTTTGCTCAATATGCTGAAGAACTCAAGTTACTTTCAGAGCAGTTTTCGAACAGATTTAGCGATTTTAAAAACATAGGTGACTGTTTTAATTTATTTCCTACTCCAACAAAAATTAATATACAAAATGCTTCTATACACTTGCAAGGCCTAGTTTTAAAAAAATAATGTTAAACGCATTAGCCTAATGTGATATTGACATAATAAAATTTTCTTTATTTTTTAATTTTTTAAAGACATAAACTTTTTTAAATTACTGCAGTAATATTAATCACTGCTAAACAAGTTAAATATTATTTAATTCGTTTTTTATTATTAATATTAGAAAATGTTTATTTTCTTTCATTCTTATTATTATTTTTTTTTTAATAATTAACTTTAATATTACATTAAAAATTTTTTTTGATAGAAACAAATAGTTTTTCTCGACATTGAATAAATGAATTTGTGTTATCATGTTCAATTTCTTTAAATCAAAATTAAATTATATATTTTTTTTATCAGAATAAAATTATATATTTTTATTAAGTAGTTTTAAATTAAATCATATATTTTTATCAGAATTAGTATATATTATATTAATCTTTGCTTCAAGCTTAAATAATAAAGTATTAGCTTTTTTTAACAACAACAAGATATTTATTTTCCTTTTCAAAATTTACATATAATCATATAATAACAATAAAAATAATATTATCTATAATAATATAATAAAATATAAATATAATAAAATATAACTAATAAGAATAATAAATAACTATTTGAAAAGGAAGGTGTCACTCAAACAGAAGCCTGATCAAAGTGTGACACCAAATAATTACAACAATAATTTAAAAATAATAATATTATATTAATAAAATAGTAATAAAAATAACAAATATGAACTAAAATTCGCTAAGAAAATAAATAAAATAATAATAACTACGATAAAGCTAAAATAAGTTAAATAATAAGACAAAAAAATGAAAACACTCAATAACAACAGCAAACAAAAATAAAAATAATTAGCAAAACAGAACAAATAAAAAACAAATCTTACACAAACGAAAAGGCAAAACACAAAAACTACAAGATGAAACACAAAAACTATAAAACGAAAAGGCAAACGCAAATACTTCTAAAAAATAAAATTAAATTAAAAAATAAAGACAAGCTTTAGTTATTTTTTGCAAAATATTAAAAAAAAAGGTGTAGAAAATTTGGTAAAACAGAATAACAATAAAAATAATTAGCACAAATAATAACAAACTTTACGCAAACGAAAAGAGAAACACAAAAACTACAAAACGAAATACATACACAAAATGATAATATTTAAACAACAAATATAATATTTAATAAAGATATTTAATGGTAATATCAATAAATAGTTAATATAATAAAAAAAATAATAATAATATAACAATTATCACATATTTGCCACAAAAAAAAAGGTGTAGAAAAATTGGTTGCGATTTTTTACGTTTTAATTGGTTCTTTTAATTATTATTTCGAATCAATGCAATAACATTGCAAATAACGGAAGCATTTAACTAACGATGAAAAGGAAAAAAAGAGTGAAGGAAATTTTTAAATAATAAAAAAGATTAGTTTAGAAATAATGTAAAAAAAAAAAAAAAATAGGTCCTCAAAACAAAAATTCAAGCAAAAAAATTGATCGATATAATAAAAAATATATATATAAAAATAAATTAGTTATAAATTATTTTATATATTAATTATAGAAGTTCAAGTAAATTTTTTTTATTGCAATCAAAAGTTGCATAGATATTTTTGTGCTCGCCAAATGATAAATAAAAGTTTATATATATATATATATATATATATATATATATATATATATATATATATATATATATATATATATATATATATATTTCTTTTATGATTTTTTTTTAAATTCCGTTCAATAATTTCCTATAAAAAGAAAAAAAAAATTGCCTCAATAGAGATTAAGTTTTCGTAGTTCTACAAAATAAAGTTTGAACAGGAGCGGCGTGCTTTTGCTGACCACGCAAATGATTTTTTTTTGTTTACAGTTGACCACGACTGTTTTAATGATTTAAACGTTTTAGAAAATCTAAACTTTAAACTAGGAAAAAAATTTTGCAAAAATAAAGAATAAACAAAATAATTCCTTACTAAAAATAAATTAGCTTTAAAATAAAGCTAAAACAACTTGAAGTAGAAATTACTTTTTGTTACGTTTTTAATTGCATTTGAAAAAAACTGATCTTTTAATAAAAGTTACGCAAAACGATTTTACAAATTACTTTGATTACCGTTGATTGTTTAATAAATGAACAAACTTATTATTGAAAAGAAAAAAAAATTAGTTTTTAATTTTTATAGTCATTTTTTTCAAAAAGTTGCAAAAAAAAAATTGTTTAAAAAAATAACGTTGTCTTTTTAATTATTGTAATTTTTAATCATTTTCTAATTTAAGTAGTAAGTCAAAATTAAAAAAAAAACAACTTTTAAACAATTTTATTGTAAAAATAGAAGCCAAAAAAAAAAGCAATAAAATTATGGGAAGATTTAACTCAATTTACTTAAAGTAAAGTAACTTAAAAAATTATTTTTTAAAAGATTTTTAGAACGACTTGAAAAATAGTTTCAAATGTTTAAATTTATCATAAAAAATATTTAATTTTTAAATAATACTTTATTTACACATTATGCCTTTATTTTTTTAACGATCATTATAATTAATTTTAGATTTGATTTGATTTAAAGCCTTCAAGTAAATTAAAAACTTTGAAAAAGATCAATAATTAAAAGTTATTCGTAACGTATCAATTTTTTTAATTGCATATAAGTTGTTAAAACATCAAAACAGCCGTTGTCAAATTGTAAAGAAAAAAAAAAAACTTAGTTAAAGCGTGAAATTTTAAGTCTTTTAATCTAAAAAAATGTGCAATATTAAATTTAAATTATTTTATAAAAAATAAAAAAATACGATGAATTAATCTAAATAGTAAGGAAAGAAACTGACTACCTTTAGACTACCGTTAAATAAACTGAATAAAATTAAAACGGTTATGATTGCATTACTTGGTTAGATAAAACTGTCCGACCCAAACAAGTTTTGATCGGACACTTTGTCCGAGACCCGAGACTTTATTTAATCAAATTTAGCCCTGTATATATGTATATATGTGTGTGTGTGTGTGTGTGTGTGTGTGTTTATATATATATATATATATATATATATATATATATATATATATATATATATATATATATATATATATATATATATATATATATATATATATATATATATATATACTATAGGGGATATAGATATGGCAGCTTTGCAGACTAATCTGGTTTTTTCAAGAAAAACAAAGAGTTATAAAAAAATATTGATCCTACCCTAACCTAAACCTTCAGTGTAGCAGTCACTCCCTTGCATGTTCTCCCTATATTCTCCCAGTTTATACTTTATAAAAAGCTGACGGGATGGCATCCCGCCTCACATTGAGCACTGTATATATATATATATATATATATATATATATATATATATATATATATATATATATATATATATTATATATATTCTGTAGAAAAATAACAAATGAACTGAATATGAAGACAATTTAAATGGATCTAAGTAAAAAACATAAAGGAAACAATTTAAATGAATTGTAAATTGATTTAAATCGGTTTGCTAACTAAGAACTGTTGATTTATTTTATGAAAAAATAACATGATTTTTGTGAAGCCAAGTTGTTTTATTTTTATAAAGCATACAATTCTAAAACATAAAAAACGGATTAGAAAAAATAGATAAAACAACGACAGCAAAAAAACGTTTTAGAACAAAGTCGTTGTGGTCATAATAAAATTTAAGATGATAAGATGGAGTTTTACCTCTAATCTTGATAATTAATTCTTTGAAATATATTCTTTAAATGTCTTTTACTCCAATGCATTTTAATATAAAGAAATTTTGCGTATTCATTTTTGAAAAGTTTGCTTAATTAAAATAGTCAAAAGTTAAAGTAATATTGCAGTAAAAGTATTTTTATTTAAACTAAAATTATTTAAATTTAAATAATTTTTAAACTATTTTAAAAAAGTTTTTTAAAAATTTTTTAAATTATAAAAATTTAATAATTAACAATATTAATTCATTTTGCCTTTTTTTATTAACATTAAATTATTATTTAGAAAAAAGAAAATCGTGCAAAAAAACAAGATACAGAAAAAAAGATAGTTAAAGGAGTGAAGAAGAAAGATGTTGGTAGAAATGTTCCTGATTGGGAAATACAAGCTGGAAAACAAACACATATCCAAGATGTTTGTGGAGATACTCCAGAGAAATCCATAGATTTGAAATCTAGAACTCCATCAATTTCATCAAATATTTTGCCGGGAATCAATGGCTCTCCAAATTTTTCTCAAGAAAAAGCTGCAAAACGTATGTCTACGACTTCATTAATAGGTAGACCAACATCTGCTCCACCACCTCCTCCTCCTCTATCTTTGGGTAGTATGTCTCCAGTATCAGTTTCTGAATTACCTCAATCACCACCACCAGCACCACCTCTTGGTCGTCAAAGTTTTGTACAAGCTAAACCAAACTCTCCACCACCACCACCTCCACCTCCTATTGCAGTTGCATTTACTCCAGATTCATCTATTCCTCCACCACCTCCACTTGATTTTAATAAAACAGCTATAGGGAATCCTCCAATGCCACCTCCACCTCCTACTGTTACTACAGTGCTGCCGCCACCTCCCCCACCTGTGGGTGTTATATCTAGTGGTCTCTTAAGTAGCGTCAAGCTAAGTGCTGCCAAACCACCTCAACCTGTTGAAGTTGATCCACGAAACGATTTGTTAGGTGCTATTAGAAAAGGTATGAATCTTAAAAAAACTCAGCAAATATCAAAAGAGGAAAAACAACTTACTATGGGAAATGATGTGGCTTCTATTCTTGCACGACGTATTGCATTGGAAGTATCAGATAGCGAAGAAGATGGTGATAGTGACACTGACGATGACTGGAGTGATGATGAATAATTTTTATATATTTTAAATAATTTTAAAAATAACTTTTATAGTAAAACTGGTTATTTATAGTTACTGTTTTCACAATAGAAAGTAATAAATTACATTAGTAATAGAAACTAGTTGATTAATTATTACTTGATTTGTATAAGCATTTGTTAATTTATTAAGTCTATTGATAAAGTTTAAATTCTAAATCGTCGGAGGCCGCAGCAACACAAGCGATTCGCTAAAGTAGGCGATTCGAGCTCATGGGCAGCCTGCCACCCTTCAAAAATCTATCGTAAGAGTAATTTACGTATAACCCAGCGTCACCCAGGTTTTTATTTTCCTTACTCATAAGTTTAAGGCTAACTGAAGTAAGTTAATCAAAAAAATTTGTCTAAATTAATTTTGAATTACTTATGGGTTTACTTTATTTATTAGAAAAAATAACTATCGTGATTCCAACTTTTTTTATATTTAAACTTTAAAGAAGCGATTGCCGTATGTGCGTGTGTGTGAGTCTTCTAATTAAAGTAGAACTCAATAGCAATACGTAACACTCAATCTGCACAGCCATTATTTCTCGATACAGCCTATAATAAAAGTAATATTTGAAAATACAAAAATTAGTCAAAAAATGCCATTTTTATTGGTATTTCTTCAAAATAAAGTAATCTTACTGAAAAAAGACAGTTCAAAATATTATTCAATCATTAAATGCTAATGTTAAAGCATTTAGATAAAATTACCGGAGCAGAAATACACGCCACCAAACTATAAAATATTTATATTATGCCCGAAAAAACAATTACTTAACAATCTGGGTTAGCAAGATTATTAAAAGTAAGATTAGAAACGATGATATACTTAAAAATTGTAATTTATCAACCCTTTTAGATTTGTCGTCAGCTGCGGTCAGTCCGCTAAATTGATATTTTACCAATCCGCTTGTGCAATCACAAACAAAACTACCCATTTTTTGATCCAACAGCAGCATTTATTGAGTTATTTGATCCAAAAACAGCAGTTAATGCCCGCAAAACTCAAAGATAACGTAGCCAATTGTGTTGGCTGTAATAAAGAATCAAACGAAATCCACTTTCAACACTAATCACTACTAAAAATTAGTATTTAGAATTTTTCATAGTCACTGAAACATGAATAAAAAAAGAACTCCGGCTGCGGCCACCAATAAAAAAGCGGAAGCCACTGGAGGCGGAAGAAAGAACATTTTGCCGCTAAAAATTGATCGGGAGGCAGCAGCCGTCTGCTACGGAAGAAAAGTGGAGGCAAGAAGATTTACGCCGTTTATCAACACTGGTTTCAATCATTGTATTCTATAAATATTTGAAATAGAAATACAAAATAATAAAAACCCACAAGCATAAAATAATAGTTTTATAATAAATATATTTGTAAATTCAGCGAACACTCTGTCGCAGTTAGGTAAAACCGCAATCTATCTTTTCAATTAACTAGGATCATTTTTATACTAGGATCTAACTAGGAGCATATCTATAGTATGCGTCCTTAGTTTTGCGTCTTAGTTTAAGTACTTGAAAATTGTTGAATGCGAATTTAAGTGAATATTGGAAGTGTATAGGATTTTGTAATATATCAACTATATGCAATGGCGTTATCATATGCACACGCAACTAAATTTCATACTGACAGATCTGAAAGAATTGTGGAATTTAAAACAAGAATTGATTTTTCAAAAGTCAGCAACCCAAGGTACATTACTGAAAATGCCCAAGAAATTTCAGAACGAATAGCCGAAAAAATTGGAAAAGGAAAAATTGAAAACCTGACATACCATAGAGATGGAAACTGGATTGCAGTTTTCAGAAATATAAATGATGCCAACACCATTGCTCGATCAGAAATTGAATTGACCGAATCTCAAAAGCCAATTTATTTTAGAAAAAGAGAAGATTTTGGCTTCTTAATTACAATCAAATGTTACCCAATTATAACAGACGAAGAACTATCGCAACAACTTAAACCACACATTAAAAACATTAACTCAATCAAACATGCAACGTATGATTTTGACAGAACCATCGAAGACGGACGAAGGCTCTTTAGAGTTAATCTTACAAAAGCCGTTATAGAACTGCCACACGAGATTGAAATAAACGGGCAAAGAATAACTCTGAATTTTGCCGGAAAAGAATTTCTCTGCCGAACATGTGGCTCAACACATATCCCGAGAGAAAGATGCAAAACTAAAGAAACGCAATTCAACCAGTCCACCTCAACAATCATCCCAACAACTATTCCAATAGAAACTAAAAGAAAACAAGAACGCGAAATAGAACCAAAAGGAGAAGTAAAAAATTCAATATATATAAGCAATAAAAATATTCCTAAATTTGTTGTTCTAGACGACGACCAAATAGATATAAGTCTCCCTGAGGATGTTAAAAAGAAAGTAAGGGAAACACAAAAAAAAAATGAGGCTGCCTTTGCTGAAGCCAGAAGAAAAGAAGAAAATGAACAAGAAGAACAAACACAACAAAAACAGTACTCTGAAACTACATCAGAAAAAACACCATACATAGATTTTAAACCAAAAAAACAGCTACAAAGAATTGAAAAAAATATAAAAGTACAAATAAACAAAACAAGAGATAAAGAACAAGAAACCAGCGCGGTCATCGACAGAGAAGAAGAAGAAAATGAAAATGAAGAAGAAACCAACAGAAAAAAACAACAAGACACATCAGGGCCACGAAATAGAGGAAGACTCGAGCGGAAGAATCGATCAAGAACCCGAAACGAGCGAAAAGAAACAAATGCAACCTCCAACACCAGAAAAAGATAAAATGATCCTTAAAGAAAAAAGACCCCGTAAAATTCAAAACCAAAAATGGCAAAAGTAATCTTAACTACGCAGAAAATACGGTGGTATGTGCCTTTTTTATTATCTAAAATTGATTTTACATTTTATGTTATTTGCAGTTTATATAATGTGAACGATTTTTTACATAAGACATTTTCCGTCTATGTGCTCCAATTAAAAGCTTTCTCTTGATCTAGGAAAGGAATACAAGTTATAAACACTATTTTCTTTTCCTGAGTTTTTTAAAAAAAAAAAAAAAAAAAAAAAAAAAAAAAAAAAAAAAAAAAAAAAAACGATTAAAAATGGAGAAAATAAGTTTTTATACGTCAAACGTTAATGGTTTGAACAATTTAAGTAGGAGAAAAACAATTATAAATTCTTTTAAAAACAAAAACCACGATTTCTTTTTAATACAAGAAACCCATTTAGACAATGAAAAAATAAACTTACTAATAAATGAATGGAATGGCGATATTTTTTTCTCTCCTGGGAATTCGAAAACCCGTGGAACTGCAATTCTATGTAAAAGCTGTCACGAACACGTGATTTTCTCAGGAAACGATACGCATGGGAATTACAATTACGTAGCAATAAAAAGAAAAAGCGTAAACTATTTAATTATAAATATATACGCTCCCTCAGGCGGAAACACGCAATCCCTTAGGAAAAAATTATATTTTGAACTAGCAAATATATTCCGCAATAAAGAACTTAACGATTTTATTATTATCATGGGAGGAGATTTTAATGGAACCCTTTCAATTAAAGACAGATATCCTTTCTCAAACAAAAAAGAATGCCCCTCAAATAAAGTTTTAAAAACTCTGCTAAATATTCTAGAAATAGAAGACACGTGGAGAGTTTTTAACCCGAATGCAAATGAATATACATTTGCGTCGGCTAACGGAGTTTCCCATTCAAGACTAGATCGTTTCTATATAAGTAAAATATGTAGGCAAAATACAAAAACCTACTTTGAACCATCATTAACGGATCATTATAATGCTCAAATTATAGAAATAACAAATAACAAAATAAATTTTGGAAAAGGAACGTGGATATTAAACAACACGCTCCTTCAAAACAATGAATACAAAACTCTAATAGAAACGACCTGGGATGAGTGGAGACAACAAAAAGAAAATTATACAAACACAAAAGAATGGTGGGAAGCCGGAAAAGAAAAAATAAAACAAACTTCTACAAAATTTAGTAAAAAACTAAACCAAAACAAAAATAAAAAGGAATATAAACTAAAAAAACTTCTAAAAAATGCATCCAAGAAAATGCACCTAAACAAAAATATGAAAATTTTATTTAAAGACATTAAAACAAAACTAGAGGTAATTGAAAAAGTAAAAGCCGAAGGGGCGGCTATAAGAGCAAAAGTTCAATGGCGATTAGAGGGAGAGAAATGTACAAAATTATTTTTTGGTCTGGAGAAAAACAAATTATCAAAACAATACGTTTCAGAAATAAACGCCAAAAACGGAGAAACAAAAAATACATCTGAAGACATCCTATTTGAATTCAGAGACTTCTATAAAAATTTATACAAAAATAAAAAAACGATAACAGTTCCCTTTAGAATTAATTAAAAGGAAATTCTTTTAATTAATTCTAAAGTTAACAAAGTTACTAAAGAAGATAATTTACTAGTAGAAAAAGAAATATCAGAACACGAAATTAAAAAAACCCTATCACAAATGAAAAATAATAAGTCACCAGGATCAGACGGCCTAACAATAGAATACTATGAAGTATTCTTCGATCTGATAAAAAATGACCTAAAAGACACGTTAAATAACGTGCTGAATACTGGCGAAATGACGCCATCACAAAAAGAAGCTTTAATAACATGTATTTACAAAAAAGGAAATAAAAATGAAATCGGTAACTGGAGACCTATATCTCTGACAAATGTAGACTATAAAATTCTAACAAAAACATTAGCAAATAGATTGGACAAAGTTTTACCAAAAATCATAAATAGTAACCAAACCGCCTCAATTAAAAATAGAACTATAAATAACAATTTAAGTTATACTAGAGATATTATCAGCATTTCTAATACTGATAAACTAGAAACATGTATACTTTCCATAGATCAAGTGAAAGCTTTTGATAGAGCAGATAGAACCTTTTTATTTAAAAGTCTTGAACACTTTGGTTTTGCAACGGTTTTTATTTCTCATATCAAGACAATATATAATAACGTAAATGCTAAAATAAAAATTAATGGCTTTTTATCCAAACATATAAATATCTTAAGGGGAGTACGACAAGGTTGCCCTTTATCAATGATATTATACATCATTCAGGCTGAAATATTTGCAACATATGTTAGACAAAATAAAGATATTAAGGGAATTATAACTGGAGGAAAAGAAACAAAAATCCAGCAATACGCTGATGATACTATGTTCTACCTCTCGGGTGATAAATCTATAAAAATGGTAGGGCAAGCCCTAAAACTCAACAAAAAAGCTACAGGCGCTAAAATAAACTTAACCAAATGCCAAG